TTCCACATTGTTCTCCCTCTCTATGCAGGAATGCAGGATCTCCTACATCCCTTCCAAGTGGATGGCAGTGGTTATCTATATATTTTTAAATATTTTGAGACATTTGTATCTATTTGGAATACTAATTCCTGATTTAATTAGCAACAATCTATAAACTGTTGTAATAAAAAGAGCTTGAAGGATGCTTTAGAAAAAAAATTATGATGTAGGCTACTGGTTATGAAAACAGACAACACATTTTCCCAAGAAAATATTGAAAAATATTTATAATGAAGTTTGCAATTTGTGTGGTAAACAAAATATTCTTGTGTGCAAAAACAAGGCTTAAAATCTATTGCTTTGCAACTTTATGATAAAATTTTGAATCTCCTTGCCCTACAGAGATTCACTCTAAAAGGTCAGGACATTGGCTAGTCTTTCATATTGTTAAATATACTCCAACGTATTTTCTATCTTAGTGACTTTTGTGGAACATATACAAGATTAAGCAATCCAGATGTACATGTGCAAACAATGTAGGGAATTTCAGAAAAACCCTAAAACACACATAAAACGTATATGAAAATTGTTTTTCAGCCATTGAGTGAAAATTCCTTCCCTACTCTGATTTCAGTCACTAGGTGTCTTAGTCTCTCTCTCTCTCTCTCTCTATATATATATATATACACACACACATCCCTCACACAAATCTGTATCCAAATATGTATGTGTATATATGTATATATACTACAAACTTCATAAGAACAGATGATTTTAAAATGAGCATGCCTGTTTAAGCTATACATGCAGATATTTTTATCTGAATATAGTTTATGAGTGCACATAGCATGCATAAAATACATACACTTGTATTAGCAAAATTTAACTTGTGTTTTAAAAAAGCTAGTGTTTATGTTGTGACAGGCTCTGTGCTTATTTTTGTGAATCTTTTGATGCTTATCTTGAAAATTGTGCTTTCAAAGAGATTGGAAGGAAACAAGTTTTAAATGTCTTTTTAGACCATGAGGACTAGGTAGATCCCTTTGAAATTTTATGTTAATGTTTGCTGTTGTTGTTGTTAGGTACCATTGAGTCGGGTCCGACTCATAAAATGTGCGATAGGTGTAATTCATTTTTCTTTTTCTGGTTTTACTGACTTTGTTAAGTCAGCCTCATACCAAAAAACATTTTTTAATTATTATTTCTCCATTTTCATGGACTTTTTTGGTACTGCACTCAGTTATTTTTATGGATTTTTCAAACTGAATTGGGAAAATATTAGGTAGTCATAAACTCTAATGTCTCACCAGTTGGAGGACTCTAAAGCCATAAAATGAGGTGGTGAGGTATGTCTAGAGTATATAAATAATTAAAGCAGAGGCATTTATTCCTCCCTTTGATATTCATTCTTTAATCTTTGAGAATGTTAGGAGATATTCATCTTGCTAGACTGAAAATAGCTATATATATTCTCTACATGTTGGAACTTAAAATTTGCATGTAGACATATTTCATTATACACATAATACAAATATTAGGGACTTGACTCTGAACATTGAATCTAGGAGCACAACCTTGTTTTACTTACAGGATTTGTAGCCACTAAGGCCTGGTTGTTGGCTACTGCAGTAAGGTGGATGATTGTGACAACAGAATTACAAACAAAAGAGAAGAACAGATTTTTATGCAAGGTAATCCTTTGGCAACTTAGGCTCCTAAAAGATAAGAGAAACCAAAGTATATTGACATCATATAATATTTCCATGTTTTTTCATTAATAATCATTCAAATAAGATATCCTCCCAATTCATAGCAGCTCCCCAAGACTAATGTGGTAAAATCTTAATTAGGGAAAATTTGTAAGTCCTTAAACACAGAGACAAGTAAGTTACACCAGTGTAGGTAGACACACACGGAGATGGAAAATTCCCTGGACACAAACTCTACAGAAAATTTTTCTATAAATTTATCAGCAACACAAATACTTCGATTTGTTTTGAAAATGTACAAATGAGATTTAGTAAATTTAGATAACTGATCAAAAACTCATACAGCTAGTTAAATTGAAAACTTAGGCTTTGTCAGATTCTAACAAACATAACAAACATCTTTTCATTATACCACTTAGATTGTTCTGTTGATATAGCCGGGGTGTTTTGTTTCTGTGGTAGTGCTTGGGCAGAACAACCATGAGAATAATAATATTTTGTTTGGAATAGAGGAACTGGTAACATACAGACTTAGCAACCAATGCTACTTTTTCCAGTTGCCTGTATTTTTCTAATTGGCCCAGCTGTGCATAAGATAGTGGTACTCCTCTTGCAGGAAACAAAAGAAAAGAATTGGCTTGAAGGAATTCAATAGAAGTAGATTTCAGAAAGAATCATAATTAATTTTAAGCAATAGTGCTCTTCAGATTAAATCTATTCTAGGAAGGTTGTTGGTATGTGATTGCCTTACCCATACTCCTCCGTGATATCTTTCTTTCAAGGCTTATTCTGGACAAAATATTGAAATAATAGGATGAATCACTTGAAACTGAATATTTATATCAAAAACAAACTACTACTTAAGAGGAAATATGGAATCATTTTGTTAAAGAAATATAAATTCTTATTTTGATTTTTTTACCATATTATCCAGTTAATATGGTTAACCTAGAAGATTCCTTCCAGTGTGGAAACTCTAGGGAGATTTTCACTATATTCCTTGTCATAAATAGATTATGAGCATAAGATATTATAGTTTGACTATGAGATCAAGGTTTTCTACTTACAAAAAAGCAAGGCAAAGTAGAGGCCATATTATCTCTGAATTTTCTTCCAAAGTCTCTCTCTCTCTCTCTCTCTCTCTCTCTCTCTCTATATATATATATATATACTATTTTAAAATTATAACCTGGTAGAGAATTAAATCCAAATAATTATTTATGGAATACATGCTATTCACAGAACTAGACTTCTGTGAATAGAGAGGGGACTTCTAAGAAAAGCTGCGTGGACAATATGGCTATTTGATAGATAAATCCTTGAATGTAAACAGGGCAGACATATACCCATGAGTATGTAAAATACAGCTGGAGTCTATCAAAATGGAACACAGCTGGAAACTGCTAGTATTTTCATAGTAAACAGTCATTTACTTTGACTTGACTTTATAGTGCATGGGGAGCAGTGAGAAGCAGGCAGGAATCAAGTTGCAGAGTATAGATGATATCCTGTAGAAATAAAGAATCCTTGAAAGTGTTCAAACCGAAGAATGACATGATTGCTGTTATTACTTAAGGAAATGTAAGGGAAATTGAGGGAAAGATTGCCTCATTTTCACTAAAATGCCACAGTAATGACATGATTACTCTGTGTTCATTAAGAGTGAAGAAAAATGATAAATATGAGAAAAAGTCTAGTAAAAGAATATTTATTTCAAATCATGTATATTATGTGTGCCTTATTTCCTGTAATTTACTCTTTTCCTATGATGAACATTATTGATATGTAGAATTCGCACACATATTATTATTATTATTTAATATTTTTTGTGATTTGGGTGCACATATTATTTTTAAATGCCTGCGTTGAGTTTTCCATGTGTCTGTGGCATGCTAACTATTGTTTAGGGAAGAACTATTTATCCATGCTAACAGGCATGTTTTTAAGTCAAGAACCCATGTACCTCAGCTACCGTCATGGGAAAAAAAGTTTTCCTTAATTGGACTATCCTGCCCTTTTCTGCTGAACTCATTTATATTTCAATCCATTGGTTAAGACATACATAAACAAGAAAATTTCATAGTTTTCAAATTACGATCAAAAGACCAGGAAGGTCTGCTTAGACAGCCAATGTGAAATATTTGTAAGGAATAAATGGAGATGAAGAAAAACAAATGCTAAAGAAGGCTTTCAAACACAGCAATACTTAACAGAAGTAAGCTGAAATGTAGATGACAGAACTGAGGAACATAGTATGAATACTTTCATACTATAATTGTAATTTTTATTTTAATATTCACATGTGATAAGATTGGAAGGAAGTAATATGAAATGCTAACTATAGTTTGTTGAAGGAGCTCTGCTAGTGCAGTGGCTAAGATATTCAGCTGTTAACCATAAAAGTTACTGGTTCAAACCTACCAGCTGCTCCACAGAAGAAAGATGAGGCAGTGTGCTTCCATAAAGATTTACAGCCTCAGAAATCCTATGGGAAAGTTCCACTTTGTGCTTTTAGAGCCTCTATGAGTTGGAATTGACTTGATGGTAGTGGGTTGGGTTGGGCTTTGGTTTTGATGGTTAGTTGAAAAGCAATTTTAATTTCCATTGCAAACGTCCTGTTCTTAGCTCTGCTGTCCTGTATTTCAGTTCCACTCATAATTCCTCTTTTCTCATGATCCTGCTGCCATCTCAATCTGGCTTGATACTTAGATTTAAAAATGACCTGCTGGTATCTATTTTATTCAAAGGATGTTATTATTGTGAGTACAATCACACATCCTCAAAAAACGATTTCTTATACTCTTGTTTTGTTGTCGATAGGTGCCCTTGAGTTGGTTCCAACCCATAGCAACCCTATGTTCAACAGAACAAAACTCTGTCTTGTCCTGCACCATCCATCCTCACAATCCTTGCTGTGCTTTGAGTCTTAATCTCTTACTAAATTATATA